TCCTTCTTGCCATGAACGTTGTASAACACAACCTTTGCAGATAGACATTTGCTGATATCGTCAGCAAAATTTTTGTTGATGACACAAAGCTGGTACGAACCGGCCAACGGTTTTCGGGTCATCCCCGCTTCTCCCGAATCTACTGTGTCAGTTTCGGTTATCGAAACTGGGCCTTCAATGTAATCGTATTGTTGCAGCRTCTTTCTCATTTCGTACTTTAGAATTCCTGAGCGATTGGCAAGCACGATATCTTCCCATTTTGGTCTTGATTGTGATTCTTCAAACAAATTTAGCTTTTTGGCTTCGTCAAGTAGAGGTTTAGGAATCTTATAAATCAAGATGGCAGGCTTTTGCGTTATGGCGAATGCCCAATTTCTGGCGTCTTCATAATTATTGGTCAAATAGAAGCCCTTCCCATCGCTGAAGTCTTTTTTTTGAGATCCCATACTAACAGCAATACCTCCCGATGAAATGTCATAGGCACTCTCTATGTCTGTTCCATGGAATAACACCGTGACTTGGCAATGGTCTGATTCTTGTCGTAGTTCCTCTCCTACAGCTTTTATTCCTGCTGTGTCCTCGGAGATGGTTCCTTCATTGATTGTACAATCAACTGATATAGTACGGACGGAGGAACTTTCCATTCGATCCTTCTGATCCAATTTGTATCCTTCTTTATGCAAGTGGCATTTGTGCGATAGATCAGGGTTGTATCTGAATTGGTCTGCCACAAAACGCTTTATAAAGTCTATTGGTTCAACATGATTGGGCCGTAGTAGCTTCGATTGTTGCAATATGGTTCTCATCACTTTGCTGTTTTCTTCGAATCCAATCTTAAGCAGAAGACTTTCGCTAAGGGTTTTTTTGACATTATCGTCTATAGCACAAAAGTTGTTTTCTAAAAATGTTATTATCCAATCTTCATTATCTCTGTGAAGTCTTATTTCATTTGGAATACGCCGGAAATCTTCCACAAAACGTTGGTGTAACCCAAGTATAGAGATTTGAGACTCAAAATCATCCTCTAATCCTTGATTATTCTGATCGGAATTATTACCATGGATCTGTTGCAAGTTAGTTGCTTTATCATCTACACTACACTCCCTCCCACTTGGCAGCGTTTTTGAAGGCTGCAATTCACAGTCATAAGTTTTATTTTCATCTGAGTAAATAAGTGAATCATGTTTCACATCATCATATGCAGTTTTGTCAGTTATGGACAGTTTCTTATCCTCTTTACATAATTTATTAGATCTACGATCCCGCATAAAAATGTCGTAATTCATAACATCCTGTAGCGGCAAAACGTCCCATGCGTTAAGACTGGAGTAAGGAGAATATCCTATAGGACACACGTCCTGTATAAATCTAGGCGTTATTCTGGAACCGGAACAACAAAGTTTTCTCATAACGAAACTTGATTTATTGAACCCCAGTTCCGAAAACTGAAGCTGATCTGCTGTCTGAGGACAACTGGTATCAAAGCGTTGCAGAAGTTACTTCACACCAGAACTTTAACCAATCTAAAAATTTGATGCAGTGAAAATTAGCGATTTTATTCATATTGATCAAATTAAAAGGGAGATTCCTCAGTTCATGCAAAGCAGCTCTACTGGGTAATGGCTTTGACAAACCGTTCATGTTTGGTTGTGAAATGCGTATGCAATATAATCGATATCAAAGAAATTTTCATGCCAAGCCTAAAACGATATTTTTTTCTTTTTTTTTTTTTTTGTATTAGTTAAGCGACCGCACAATAATTATCAGGAATAAACAAAAAAAGAAGTTAATTACTACAATTACTACAAACGAAATAAATTATGCCCTGCCCCCAACCCCCTGTGAATTTATTTATTTATTATTCGCGAATAAAGAGTTGTCGCAAATCGTGGCACTTACACCTAATTGAAGAAACGTTGTCGGGTCCAAAAAGGTCAAATCATAGAAGCTAAGACCGAAAGGGTACTTGGGAAGACAAACAATTTGGCTAATTNTTGAGTGACGAGTTAGGACCAACAATGGAAGTGTGCGAGACAATGTACGGACAAGTGTTACAGCGCTTACGTGAGCAACGAAAAGTGCCAGGATCATTATTAGAATGTAAAACACCTTTGACTAGGAAAGAACGAAGGTTACGGTCACGTTTATTAGAAAAAAGGGGTCGGTCGTTAAAGATGTGAGAAGTGTTAGTTTCAGAAGTGAGTAAGAAGTAGTTACGATTAATAATAATGATGGTAAGTTGTACGGAAGATCAAGCTTTCAAGCTATAGTAGTATTTTCATTTGATATATTGATATGTTTAATGAACCGAAAAGTAAACAAATTATTCGCCTGTAGTCTCCTCTCGCAGCCGTTATGAGGCTCGTTTCCAGGCCTCTCCCCCTAATGGCGGGAACGAGCCTCATTTCTACATAGCCTGCGTAGCCAGGCGTTCCTAGCCGCTCCGAGATCCGGCCCAAACTCTCTCGGAGCGGCTAGGAACGCCTGGCTAGAGCCTACATGCATTTTATATATAAAATTTTTGGTTTGTTTTGATAGAGTACAAACATTAAATGTGTGCAACACTTTCCATTATTTCTACAAAATAGTGTTAATTAAACAATATAAAACAATAGAATTAGCATAATTTAGCAGTATTTAGTGGTATTTATGTTGCACAGTTTTCAGTGTTTCACTTCAGTGCGTTTTCGAATCTTCTTTGGAGTGATTTTTTGTAATTTATCAAAACATATAGAATGCAAATCTATATATAAAGGCTTTTGAATTAGAAGAGAACGGTTGAGTTTTGAGCGCACGGAAAGGCAATCAATTTTAAAACTACTGTTTGAATATCGGCTGGTTTTGGGCATTGAGACATCAGATTAGGCCTTGTCCGGGACCTAAAATCGCCGAAATTTTGGGCGATTGTACGCGATTTTAGGCGATTTAAGCAAAAATCACCAAAAACCCATCTAAATCTAAGGCGATTTACTGCGATTTTGGGCGATTTTAGGCGATTTTAGGCGATTTTAAGCGATTTTAGTCGATTTAAACAAAAATCACCAAAAACCCATCTAAATCTAAGGCGATTTACTGCGATTTTGGGCGATTTTAGGCGATTTTAGGCAATTTTAGGTCCCGGACTAGGCTTCAGATTAAAGTCATTAAAAACAATATCAAAAGAGTTGATGAGTCAACTGTTATTGCGAAAATCAGGAGCTATACGGGTTATTTTATGCGAATCGAGCGACAAATTTCACTCTCCGTTTGTTGAGACTGCGCAATATTCGCCGTTTGTTTCATACATCCGCCTGCACGTATTGAAACATTTTCTCGAGCGCTGTCGACCATTGATGGTAAAAAATAGATTCTTGAACGCGTCTTGAAGCGAACAACTCAGTTAACAAGAAAAAGAAATTCGGCCTCATTTTTGAAGTAACTGGACAAATACTTCTTCAGAGAGTTGCTGCACAAACTACGGTGTACTGAAAAAAATCACATCTTCGAAACTGCCAAGAGAAACAACTCTATACTTGTACAGCATTATCTTATTAGCCAAGCAAGTCTTTTTCTGTAAAACTGAGCGTGAGCCATTGGCATTTCATCAATATAATATGGCCCAATTGTGAGCGTGTTTGTAAAAGCACGAAAACGCATGCAACATATACACGTTTGATCGTTTTTCTCAAAATCGACTTACAGAATTTCCTTGGTTTTGAGATATATTATTAGCAATATCCTACAGTTAAACGCAGTACTTTTGGTTTTTATAGGTGCAATCGAAATCTGCCGGAAATCAGCTTTTTTTAATTCTTTCTTTCTACCATAAAACTGCTATTTTTGCAGTAAATTAAACATTAATACATGTTTAAAAAGTTTCCAACTAATTACAACATTGCCTGTTTATTTTAGGAAAATCGAGTTACATTAGTTGGTCAAACGGTTTAAAAATGTAAGGTGTGCGTGAGTGCCAACCACTATGGTTCAACTAAAAGCGCAAGAAGCTCTAGATTCCCATCGAATCTTTTCTAAATCCAGCTTCAAAACTAAGTCAAAGCCATAGTTCATAGTCGAGTCGCCTTAAACGCGCTGTTTATTGCCGATATGATAGTACGTTCTTACCTAAACTGAAGACGGTTAGAAGATTGACATATATAGAAAAAGCGTCATATTCTTCTCTCAGTTTCGAGGGTACAACAGTTGCTGCCAACTAATCTGCAAGATAATGTTGATTTGTTGTTAAAAAATCTTTGTATGAGACGAGGTCATGGTCATGGTCATGGTCATGGTCATGGTCATGGTCATCACGTCAGTTGATAAATTGCGTGACAGAGCCCGCCACTTCCACCCCCCGATATAGTTCATCCACCCCCAATGTTCATCCATATCGATGGCTCATCAGTTCTAATTTTAAGAAGTCATAATACTTAGTAGTAGTAGTGATGCCGATTTGAAAATATCATTAATTAAATCATATAACCGTAGTTTACGTTTGATTTAAATAAATTTAATTCCAAAGGAAGTCGCTCAAACTTTGCGTCACGTCTGTTTATATATCCGCGGTCGAGTGATTAGAATGCGCTTATGCGTCAGATCGATAGCTTCCGTTTGGTACAATGTGCCGGGAAAATGTGGTTCTAAGCCAAAAACTGTTCCTAAACAGCATACTCTGTTAACGTATAGCAAACGAAGAGAAACCATGAAATAAAATCAATTAATTGTCCGCTCTAAATAGCCGCTATTTGTTAGTATTTATTTTATTTCTTTAAGCTCATTGAATTAGATTTTGTACCCCCTCTGGATTCTCAACCCCTCCTTGTCATAAATATTGCGCAGTCCCTTGTTTTGTCCATGAACAAGAATTTCTCACGACTCAAAAACAACGACTGAGTACAACGACTGAGGACGGAAAATGCAAAGTTATAAGATTTATTTCATTCCTTAATAAGGTGATACTGAAACAATAAAGATGTCTCACTAAATCTTACGGTACCGCCGGTGAGCAACTCGCATCAGTATCTCGTTAAGTATGTTGTTCAATTACGCAGAAACCAAAGACATATATTCTAAAAATCAATCATTATTCTAAGGAATYTACTAGTTTCTTTTAATTGATAARTCAAAGCGACGCGCGGACTTTATCACTGACCCATGGTAMCCTCTCCCTCTTTGTAATCATCAATTTYGCCGCTTTTTATCCAATTGAACGTTCGGATAATACTACTAATCAAACCCTTCTGAGAAGGCATGCATCACTAAATTAGTGGTACGTATTTACGACTAAGGTGTCACAATGCATAAAGTATGAAAATTTGAAAATTTTATTAAGTTTTATTATTCTTTTATTTTCTCTTTATTTTATTGTATATTTTTTTCTTTCGACTCACAATTATCATGTACTTTAAGACTTATTAAAAAATATGGCTGTGTGGAGCCATTGATTGAAGAGTTCTGCAAGTCTTTCGCTATGCAAACAAAATTGGTAGGTTCCTTCAATTAATTTATCAACGTGGCACTTACTCGGGCCWCCCACCCATGGCCCTTCCAAGCATGGATAGTTCTCTAATTTTCTTTCCTGAGTGCGCTTGGAGACTCCATCCTTACTGGAACACTTTCTAAAGTCTTGCGCAAATTTCAACAGTTCATTTTCATCCTTTACTAACTCCTTTGACTTTTTGCGATACTTATCAAATTCAGAATTTGGAACCTTAAAAATCAAAACTGCCTGATTGTGTGATGTATTCCAAMGATGGAATGCCCAATTTACAGCTCCCGTGTTACCTGTCTGGGATCTGAATTGGCGCGTCAAATAAAATCCACTGCCACAGCTAAAATCTTGTCGTCTTTGAGGGTCGAGTTTGTCGAGTCGAATTCCACTTTCGATGATGTCTTTCGCAAATTTGTGATTAGTGCCATGGTACAGAACTAGATAATCATCACTTTCTTGTRCATTTGTGATAAAGTCAGTTCCATTTATAGGAGGATATTGACTTACGTCAGTTCCAGGCCTTCCTTTAGTGGAATTTAAAACATTAATGTGCCTCTGTTTAGACGTATCTTGGGGTAGTGGAATTTCCTGTGTAAACCAGTTTCCTACATTGTCTTTTTGATAAGGAAATCTTCCACAAGATTTTAGCTTTAAGAWATATTTCTTCAAATGTTTTATGAAAGTGTTAATTGCCGATGATTTACGACTAGACTTGGAGGAATGGCCGGAGAGAGAACTTKTTTTCTTGTCTTCATTGCTAGTCGATATTGATTCCTTGGGACGAAGCAATTTCTTTGTTAATGATYTTGGAAGTATCTCCATGATGCCTCCTACAGTATGCACAGACCAGGGATACTAGATAGCKATTGACACTGAGTTTCCAAACTTTCTCGTTTCTTGTGTCATGGACTGCAGGTTCTTTTACCAGCCAGACTACTGGATCGTATTTTTTCGGTAATTATTAATACTATATAAACACATTACTTATGCATATCATAGAGAGTGAAGACGCTTGTACAATAACAGAGGATATTTTAATTGTATGCATGAATAGGACTTTGATCAGCAGATGGCGTATATGACATGGCACTTCGATCAAAAACCATGACGGTTTCATTTTGAGATCAGGATTGGATTTAATTTATTTTTGCCCTTGAATTAGATTTTGCAATAATAATTAAGTAGAAAATTATTATAGGGAGCTAAAATAATATAAATTAAGGATTTTAAAGGAATATATTAACTTGTTGTTTACTTGAACGAGACTGTGGGCTAAATAAACTGGTCCAATGGGCATTGTCGATTTCCATCACGTGACCCTGTTTTACGTTATAACTCAAACGGTTTCAGTAGTAGCTTAACTGGGTTAGCATCGGCTGCATCGGTATAACTGATATAAAGTGACAAGATGTCGATGTTTTCTTTATATAGCATATATAGCTAATAAAGACTTCTCATTGTTGTCAATTTTCCAGAAACTCATGCGTATACGACTATGCTTATTATCTCAAAATCTTATAGTAATTTAGAATTTTATATTGTTATATTGTAATAGTCTCATTATTGAATTAAATTAGTCCAGAATTAACTTTTTTTATGAGGGGCTAATAAAGTATTTATTATTATTATTATTATTACCATTTGTTTTGGAATTTTAAGCCCCCTGTAAATTCTCGCGTAGTGAAAGTCGTCTCTTTGATTGTTATTGTGTTCTCCGCACTGGCATACCTCTCCTTTATGTCAATCGCAGGGGGCATATTTATATCAACCATATATTTTTTATAGGTCAAGCACACAAGCAGTGCTGTTGCGTGAATGGCTGCGGGTGTCAATATAGGAATTTAATTAATATATGATAACTCATTTAGATATTTACTTTGTACAAATATCATTTTATGATAGTCGCCTTTTTGCGTTCGTTATTTACTTACTTTTACTTGAGTATTGTTTGTATTCAACATGTCCAGTTTTGTTCATTTTAATATATTTGCTATACGGGGACGTGCCGCTGGTCAGGGTATGGTTTTTGGCCTTGCTGTCTTAAACAGGGTATACATTTCACCCTAAATTGTCTTAAACAGGATCTACAATTTAGATAAAAGATCGATATATTTTTTTGTGTGTCTTAGACAGGGTAATATTTTCATACGAAATACCGTAGAAATAATAAAAATACCGTTTCACTGTCCCAGGATTAACGTGTTATCAAAAATTTCTTATTGTCTTTGATGGATGTCAGTATAATTGCACTTTTGATGGTTGCGGCGCAGATAGCTATACCTTATTTTTTCGATTTGTCTTGAACAGGGTATGGATTTTCACTTTCTAGTGTCTTAAACAGGGTCAGGGATTTAGACCGCTGGCGGCACGTACCTATCCAAAATGGGGTCGAGTACCCCCCGGGCCTTTGCCATACTAGAGATATCAACTACTTTATAGTAAATAATATTAATAGTTTCTCTATTTTTCGCACACCACACTATATCAAGTGCCTTTGCTCGAAGCACTTCACTTTTATAGTATTTCAATCTGTGATTTGATGAAACAGCTCCACACTTGTTCCATGTGACTGTGTTGCAGTCCGCGCAATCTCGTACCGAGAGCCCGAACTTTTGTCATCCGCTGTATGGCAAAACTGTGGGCTCTGGGTACGAGATTGCAGCCCTGCGAGTTAACTTTTCGTGCCCAGGTCCTTGGACCGCCTGCACGCAATGCCGCTGACACCTTATTACCGCAGACGTATACGCCTTCGTTCTCTTCACCCTTCACACAAACAACCATCAAACTTTCACAATGGGCGAACCAGGTTTTAAAGTTTATGTTGGAAATCTTCCCTATTCGTTCGTGGACAGAGACCTAGAAGACTTATTTAAGAACTACCAGATTGTAGGAGGTAAGAAAGGAAACGAACTACTTTAAAACGACCCTGATTTTATACAGTTTGTGGTATTGAGCTGGAGGCTTTGTGCAAATGGCGTCTTCCTGTTTGATCAACGCTTCGACTATTTCTCAAACACTTATGTGATTTTGCTTAGGTTTATGAACTGAATATATATCCAGAAACACTTCCTCTTTTATTTTCACGCAAATTTAGCCGATCTCAGGCGTTTCTAATAATAAATTTTGCATTTTATGAAGTTGTTGCGTAGGCATCTGTTTATCGATTCATGTTCACTCAAACTTTCCAGTCAAAAAAATTCTTTGTAGCGTTTGTTTTTCATAGTCAAAACTACCCTTCTATCCACTAGATTTTTCTTTCTTCTTGTTTATCAATGAAATAGCAAAAAACTTGGATTTTTTGATGACATTTGATCGCTTCAAAGCTGATCTTGGGCTCCACATCGTAAAAAGCACATGGTCGCCCTCAAACGCATTGAGCTGGAACGAAGGAGTGATCAAGTTTTAGAAAATTCAATGAAATTACATTATATCAAAAGAAATACAAGCACTAAATTGAAACTAAACTGCTGAAAATGTTTTTAATTCGATTTTTTAATAAAATATATATTTAAATTAAATAACCCGACAATCAACGCCTAGGATTGTTCTCAAAGGAATGTCAAACAT